ACGGTCCAATTTTTTTTTTTTTTTTTTTGATATTATTCCTAGAAAGATCACAACCTAGTCAACGGGATCTCAAATTTTCAGAATTTTTCCTTGATTCCTCTGAGCACGAAAAATCGCCACATTGGGTGCTTGAAAAGTGCAGGACTGGACCCGCCTGCCACACTGTGCAACGTTAGGGTTTGGACACAGGCACATTCTGACCTCTCAGCTGCCTGACGTCGGATACACTTCATAAAGAAGCAGTCCCCAAAACCACACAGGGACCCTATGCACCTGTGTGATTAGGGCAGTTGCGTATTTCAAATCAGTGTGTGGGTTCAAACCCCAACATCAACCATTCATAGCTAACTTCAAAATATTAATATGTGTGTGTGTATGTGGGTGGGTGGGTATGTGTGTCTATGTGTGGGCAGCCGGGCAGGCACGTGTTTGGCCTCCTAACTTTTCTTTTTTGTCTTTTCCTGCTTTGTCTTTTCCGCGAAAAGAAAAGCAACTGCCAAACAAAAAAAAAAAAGAAACCAAAAGAAAAGCGAGGGAAAAAACGAAATAAAAAGAAATGAAAAGTCTTTTCCGCGAAAAGAAAAGCAACTGACAAACGGAAAAAAAAAGAAACCAAAAGAAAAGCGAGTGAAAAACGAAATAAAAAGAAAAGAAAAAAGGAAAACGATGCGTTCTTGCTATCCGACGGCGGGCACTTCGAGATATTCCCTCTTATCGACGCCCGCCGCCGCACGGCCTTGTGGGCGCGCTCTTTCGTTCTTTGGCGCGCTGTGAACAATTCGGTACGCGCACCGCTCTGCACACAGCCACTCCCTCGATCGCCTTCATCCYCCGGCCCGCATCAAAAGTTGAACCCGATTCCGGCGCGCAGCGGACCACCGGCCTCCCCCCGCGGCCAATGCTCCTTAAGGGTTAGGATTAATCACAATTTCTCATTTAGTGTGCACTTGAAACTCAGGTATTTTCAAKTGGTGTGGAACGAGGTCCTTATCGAGGTAGGGACTGGGTCAGTAGGAAGTGGGAGCTCTAGAACTGGGAAGGGTGAGTCAAGAAGCCCCAAGGGAAAGATGGTGGGATAATTGGTAGAAAATGCCCACACTAAAAACTGCTCGGTTTTGGGTGCCNACTCAGGTATTTTCAAGTGGTGTGGAACGAGGTCCTTATCGAGGTAGGGACTGGGTCAGTAGGAAGTGGGAGCTCTAGAACTGGGAAGGGTGAGTTAAGAAGCCCCAAGGGAAAGATGGTGGGATAATTGGTAGAAAATGCCCACACTAAAAACTGCTCGGTTTTGGGTGCCCGAAACTCGGCCGTTTGGTACTACCGGCCCAATGACTTCCATGTGGGGTACTACAGGCCCACCGTTGGCTCCAAGGGCCCTACCGGTTCAAGAATTTGGCGCTCTATTTGCGCCAGATTCACCCTCGGCCTCTTTCACATCAAAATGAACCTTCTTGAACCAGTAAAAACAGGCCCATGGAGCCCAGGGAGATGTGCATCGGCGCAAAGGCGTCTTTCACCCAGGCTCAAGTCGTTTGGCCCGATAGTACCAAAGGGCGGGCGCCCAAAACGGGAAAGGTTTTGGCGTGGGCTCTTTCTACCAATTATCCCGATGATGGTGCTCCAGGCTGGAAACTGATATGACCATAGTCCCAGCGAACACTGTGTTTAGAAACGGGGGTCCAGCAGGTGCTGGTCCCCAGCAATAGATGAAGCAGCCGGACCGGCAATGCCTCAATAACGGTGGTTCTCGTACCACACACCGGATAGAGGCCTTGCGGAAGGGCTGTCAAAAGAAAAAAGAAAATACTAGGGCGCAGGCTCCGGCTAATACGAAGAAACCAGTTCATGCATGAAAAGGGCGGAATGGAGCCAGAGGGAGCTTTGTCCTTCGCATTCTGCATCGGAGAACACTGACAATGTTGTGGGTAGAGAGTGGCCCCCACGAACTCAAGAAGGCACAGTTCCCTGGCAGCCTTACGACTGGGCTCGTCCTTCCTCCGAGAAGTGCTGGAAACCGGGTCCAATCGCATCTGATCCTGCCGGCTCCAGTAGACGTATCGAGCATAGGTGGCTTTCTTTCTTTCGGTGGGCCGATCGTTGACGTGTTCAGGCCAGGTGTTTTGATCACAACTAGGCTACTGCGGTCGTGGCCAACTGGAAGTATAAATAGGTAGCACGTTCCTGCATGTATTTCACCGGACAGGCATGAATCTGACGCTAGTCCAGTCTATAGATTAGTTGAAGAAAAAGGAGAGCTAACCACATATACAGAAGAGATCGACTGCCGGGACGGCGCAATGGACGACCTCTTTTTGGGCAGGGTTACGGGATGAGAGAGGCGGGGCGCTGCAGTTGACGAGATGCAGGCCAAACACCTCCCCAGGGCCTCGCTCCACTACTCTCCAGATGTGCAAAATGAGATTGAATCCACCGCTAGAACATGGGAAGATACATTGCCATGTTTTTTTGTTTTTTTTTTGCATGTCGGGAATAGTGCGGGGAGGCCCAATGATGGAACCAAAAAAGGCCTGAAAGGCCGTCCTGTCCAGATTTGACAGGTAATTGCATTGGTTGGGCCTTCAAAAAAAAATAAAAAATAAAAAATAAAAAAATGATGGAACCACCAAAGARACAGCGGGCCTTTTTTTTTCCTTTTTTCTTACCCCCSGCCTAAAAGCCCAAGGTGCCATCTCGATCACACGGTTCCCTTTTCCTCCCGCGACGTAGAGTTCGCCCCCACTGGTTCCCCCGGAAGAGAGAGGCGCCCTGTGGCCAGCCGGCTTCCGGAGGCGAGTTTCCCACCACATCGCCTCCGCGCTCGCCTCGACCGCGCCATTTTCGTTGGTCGTACGTAAGCTGTGACCTTCACAGGGCAATTGAGCAGTGGGGCACTGAGGTGATTAGCAGCACCGGTAACGCAACAGCAACAGCAACAGCCAAAGTTGGAAGCAGCGCAGCAGCGCGAGGGGGACGTTGGGCGTATTCGGGGCTCGCCGCACGGCACACGAAACGAAAAAGAAACGAGTGCATCTGCCCACCAAAGGTGGCAAAATACACTCTTTACTATTTATAGCAAACCGATGAACCTCGCCATTCTCTGTGGGAAGTACATTCGTTTCGTTTTTTGTTTCGTGTGCCGTGCGGCAACGCCCTTCGCTGAGTAGACAATTCCACGGGCCTCGGCTCGATTTCGAAATCGGAAACGGGCGATACTCGGC